TCCTCTCCCCCTCCTCCCCCACCTCCAGGACCTCCTCCTCTCCATCACACACTTCCTTCCTCCACACCTTTCCAGGGGGCCTTCCCTTCTTCGCGCCCCTGTCCCCATCCTCGCCTTCCCCAGGTGGAGGCCGCCACCCTGCCTCTGCCCTCAGCCCCCATCGCCCTCCAGGTTTCGGGCTCTGGCTCCCACCCCTGCCTGCGAGGCCTGGAAGCCGGAGAGGAAATGACTGAGCCGTCTGGGTCCCCGCCCGCCCTCGCGCGCCCGCGCCCCCGGCCACACCCTCCGCCCCGAAGCAGCTCCCACGCGGTGCACTGGCACTCCAGGCTCGCGACCCCGAGCTCGGACGTAAGTCCTTCTTTCGCTTTATCCTCTTGCTCAAGGCGGCGTGCAGGTGGGAAGCAGCTAGAGACCCTCTGTGCCTCGCGCCCATTCCTGCTGCTGGCTCCTCTGTGGACGCCCTTCCTGACTCAGCCTCCCGCCATCGCCGGCAGACAGGTCCCTCTGAGCTCTACCCAGCATTGGTGCCTGCAGGGCATCCGGACACCAGCTCACTTTTTCCTCGGAGCGTAGCCCGCATTAGTCACCCTTCCTCTTCCCCCACTTGCCCGCTGCTCTGGGGAGTCTCTGCGACAGGCCCCTGGGTTCTTCGTAGTGATGTCAGGGACCAGTCTGGCTTGATGCTTCTGGCTTTCTTTGGGGACCAGCACGAAGAAAAAGGGAGTGGTGGCTTGGGACCCCCACTTTTAAAAGCCTCCCACCCCAGAGCAGGAGGCAGAGGGTCCTGGAGCCTCAGGATCCCAAAGAGGCTTCCGGGGTCCCTACTTCACTCACCCAGGCTTTCATCGCTCCACAGATGTCTCTCTCCGGTCGCCTGTGTCTCCTAACCATTGTCGCTCTGATCCTGTCCAGCAGAGGTAAGACCCTCCCAGGAGCCCCAGTGGGCGGCGGGGTGGGCCACAGAGGAATTTGAATGCTCTGCCCTTCCCCCATCCCTTCTCCACAGTGAGCTGGCACCAGGAAGAGAGGGTGGTGAGGCAGAATGGGGGTTACACCCTCTTTGGACACTTCAGACCTGGGTGGCTGCTTCCAGAGGGTCTGGCTGGAGCCTGTCCTGCCGAGCATCCTCCCTCTCACCTCCAAAAATGAAATAACTGAGTTTAACTTGGCTGGGCGATTGGTGTCGGTTTTCTACTCGGTAGCCAGGAAACCCCAGGCTCCCAGGGAAACAGAACTGTTGTTTCTCTGGCCATACTGTTAGACAAAGGGGTTGAGCTAGGGCTAACCCATAGAATGGGTTCTTAAAGGGGGCACCCCAGGTGTGTTCTTGACAATGTGTCTGCATGGGAGGGATCGTGTACCTTAGCTCCTTTATGCTTGCTTAGTTTACCTCCATTCTGTCTGTTATGTCTACACTTTGGATAGGAAACAGAGGCTCAGGGAGGGAAAGTGCCCTGTACCAGAGACTAGGGAGTGACAGGCTGGGGGAGAGCTGCCTGTGTGACTGGGGACAAGTCCCGTGACTCTCAGGAGTAGTGGAAGGCTGGGCTGGGGTGAGAGTAGAGTCAGGAAAAGAGGTGATAGGACAGAGGTGGTGGAACTTGACAACCAAGTGAGAGATTTGGCCTTTCTAGGCTCTGATCCAGGGAGGGCCTGCCCAGCTTCAGGGCTCACAGGTTTCCTCTGGTTGCAGGTGGGAGTCAGGAGATCAGAAACAGGCTGCTGGGATAGGACTGAGGTTGAGCCAGGATGAAGGCTGACTGCCCATGACACAGTTAGGTGCCCCTTCTATCTACAGGGTAGTGAGCTGGATTCCATTAATAGATGAGGTATATGGGGGGCCCAGAGAGGGGACTTCAGTGGTTCCAGGTCACACAGCAAGGAGTCCTGGGAGCAGGATTCAACGAGGCTATTCTGCATGGGTGTACAAAGGTCCTGGGGCACCAGTGAGGCCTAAAGCATTCCCAGGACCATGGAATGACCCAGGCAAAGTGGTATGGTTCCATCAAGAGTCTGGAAATCAGAGCTACTTAGAGGCTTCAGAAGGTCAAAAAGAAGGAAGGGGATGAGAGGCTCCCTCCTGACTGCTCAGCCTTGATTCCCCAGGGCAGATGTCAGAGGAGGCCACACCCATTTTTCCAGTGGACCAAACTTCTGTGAACACTCCTCAGGTCCCAGGTAAGGAAAGTAAGACAAATCTGTCAAATCTCCACTGTTGGAGACAACAGCAATATACTCGGCTGAAACTGGGAGATTTATGGATTCCATAACTGAAAAGTCCCGCTTCAGGCTTGGCTTGATCTGGGTGCTTAAATGCTCCTGACAGGAACTCTTGATTCTGTTTCCTTCATCCTCATTCAGCCTCTCCTTGAGGAGAATCTAAAGCCAAGAGAAGTCCTACCTCACCAGTCCATCACAGATCCCTGAGTCTGAGGAGGAGAGTTCTCTCAGGTTCAACCCCCCTAGTGCTGAGATCACAGGTGTGCACCTCCATGTCTGGCCAGAGATTCTTGTTACATCATGTGGTACAGATTTGTGGTCACAGTGATTTGAGAAACGGAGTCAAACATACTTCTTCAGGCAGGGCTTCTGAATCTTGCTAACAGGTCTGGAAGCAGGGGAGATCCTGCTCTTCTGATTGAGTGCTCAGCAAATCAATGCCTAGGGGCCTAAAGCCCTTTCATGCCTTCAAAATGGAATTGAAGGCAGCTGGGGAGATGACTCAGTCAATATGTGCTTGCCTCACAAGCATGAGGACTTGAGTTCCATCCTCAGAACCCATGTGCAAAGCAGGGAATAGGGGCTGGAGAGATGGCTCAGCAGTTAAGAGCACTGGCTGCTCTTAACAGACCCAGGTTCTGTTTCCAGCACCCACATGGCAGCTAACAACCACTTGTAACTCCAGTTCCAGGCGATCTGACACCCTCTTCTGGCCTCCAAAGGCATTGCATGCACATGGTGCACTTACATTCAGGCAAAGCACTCATACACTTAAGAAGAAATAAAATGGGGGCTGGAGAGATGGCTCAGCGGTTAAGAACACTGGTTGTTCTTGTAGAAGATCTGGGTTCGAATCCCAGCACCCACATGGCAGCTAACAACTGTCTGTAACTCCAGTTCCAAGGGATCCAATGGCCTCTTCTGTCCTCGCGGGCATTGCATGACATGGGTGCACTTACCTATATGCAGGCAATACACACATACACATAAAATAAAAAATAACAAAATATTTTTTAAAAAAGAAAGAAAAAAAAAAAAGAGCCAGGCACACATGCACACACCTGTAGTCCCGGAGGTGGAGAGGCAGAGACAGAGACAGAAACCTGGTGCTTGCTGACCAGCCAGCCTAGCCTACTTGGTGAGTTCCAGGCCATAAGAGACCCTGTCTCACAGAAGATAGGCAACTCCTGAGAAATGACACAGGCTTTGGCCTCCAGCACCCTGCACACACACAGGCATTAAAAAAACGGAGCTACTATGGGACCTGTCCCATCTCCACCAGTGGAAACTCTCTGCTGCTCCCCTCCCGCCTCTTCTCTCTCTGACCCCACAGATACAGCTAACCCAGAAGTCCGCCCCACTCCTCCGATCCCCATCCAGGACACTGATGGTGAGTGGGGCGGGCGTGGTGGGAGTTGCACTGTCACACACGACATACACGGCACACACAGCCCTTCCTCAGACACTTCAGCCCTAGCCCAACTCTGAACCCCGACCAGCCAACCCCACTCACTTTAATATTTATTTTGTTGAGACAGAGTCTTGCTTTGTAGTCCAGGCTGGCCTCAAACTTAGCAGTTTTCCTGCCTTAACCTCCAGTGTGCTGGCATACAGATGTGTGCCACCTGCACACACCTGCCATCCAATTCCATTGAGTTAAAAACAAAACAATTTTTAAAAATTGTGACCTATTTCCAAAGCTTAAATGCTAGACTTGTGAACATGTCCTGTGCTTACCCAACCATGATTTCCATTAAAGTCTATATTTCTTTCTTTCTCCTTTTTTTTTTTTCTTATTTTTGGTCTTTTTGAGAAAGGGTCTCCCTGTAGCTCCAGCTGACCTGGAACTCTCTATGTAGATCAGGCTGGCCTTGAACTCACAGAGATCCACCTGCCTCTGCCTCCCAAGTACTGGGATTAAAGGAGTGCACCACCACACCCAGCTCTCCTCTTTTTTTTCTCTAAATTTCAAGTAATATTTGTACTTTTTCTTGGCTTATAACATAATTCAGTATCCCTCCCTTTTTTTTTTTTTTTTTTTTTAGTTAATGCTTTGTGAGGCTGGGGGTGTGGCTCAGTAGTAGAGCACCTGCCTAGAATCCCCCAGTGAGGGGATGGGAGTGTGGCTTAATAGTAGAGTGCCTGCCTAGAATAAACAAGGCTCAGAGTTCAATTCCCAGCTCCTGATCCCCCCAAAATATGAAAGTTGTCCTAAACCAGCACAAAGGAGGCTGAGGCAAGGGGATCAAAAGTTCAAGATCAGCCTGAGCTGTTTATTTAAAAAAGAAAAGTTGTGCTGGGCATGGTGGCGCATGCCTGTAGTCCCAGCACTCGGGAGGCAGAGGCAGGCGGATCTCTGTGAGTTCAAGGCCAGCCTGGTCTACATAGTGAGTTCCAGGCCAGCTGGGGCTACAGGGAAACCCTGTTTCAAAAAGACCAAAAAAAAGAAAGAAGGAAAGAAAAGTTGCTAGGCATGCTGGCCTTAGCCTTTAATCCCAGTATTCAAGAAGCAGAGGCAGGCTGGCCTCTTTGAGTTCGAGGCCAGCCTGGACCACATAGCGAGTTCTAGCCTAGCCAGGGCTATGTAGTGAAACTGCCTCAAAACAAACAAAGAGGAAAGAAAGAGAAGTTGTTCTAGATCCACATTTTGCAGTGTTTGAGGATGAGTCCCACCCCCACTCCATCCCCCTTACCAAATGACACCTGCTGTGTGGAGGGGGCCTCCTGGGGGAAGTTCTGCTCCCTCACTTGTCTGCCCCTTCCTGGTTCTTTTGACTGGAGTAGAAACCACACAAAGCCAGACTGAGGCTGAAATGAGTCTGGAGACTCAGCAACCGACAGAAACAGACACCACGCTTCTGGTGACAGATCCAGGGACACACTGGAGCTCCGATGACGGTAAAGCCTCGGCGGCGGGAGAGCGAGACCTCTGTGTTTCTTTAATTCCCTATTTTCTGGGTCCCAAGCACTTTGCTCAAAGCACTTAGAAGAAATTGCTGATACACTTTCAATTTCTGTGTGGGAGCGGGGGTGGGAGGGTGGGGGATATTTGAGGAACTTTGAGTTAAATGTTTCTTTATGGAAGGCCTTCTCAGAACCTTGTTAAACCTACTTTGCAGTAAGCAGCCCCACAACAGAACATTTTAGTATGCAGTGAACTGCAAACTCTGTTGCTTGTTTTCCTTGCTGGGCTGACTGGTTCCCCCCAGTGGAGCTGTGGGTTTCCTTTGCGTCTTTTTCTGTTACAGCAGGATCTTTTCAGTTGCAAAACACAACTTAAAAAAAAAAAAATAGATACATTGGCTAAGTTCTGTAAAATCTGAAAACAGGCTTTCAGGCACAGCAAGATCAAGGACCTTAAGTACTGTCACTGTGTCTGAATTGCTCTCTCTCCTTCCTTTGTTCTCATTTTCTCTTGGTAGCAAAAACGATCCTGTAATTCCATGGTTAGGGAACCTGTATCTCTTTCCCACAGCCTAGACTTGATTCATTGGCCCTGCTGGGATTACCTATCCCCATCTGAACCAACTGAAGTCTGGGAAGTGGACTGTTCTGATTGGTCAGGCCTCTTTAGTGTCTCACTTTGAGACTGGAAAAGTGGGGAGGGGCTAACCCTGCTCGATCAATACAAATCAAGAATCAGGGAGAAAGTAATTTCAAGACCAGTAAATTCACGGTAGAAGAGGATGTGAGGACAGGGGCTGAGTGGGGACTAGGGCAATACTGATGGCCGCTAATGGTTGTGTGATCTTGGAACTTGGGAGGCAGACACAGGAGGATCTAGAGTTTGAGTGTCGTTCTCCCCCGAAACACACGCACCAAAAAATTAATTAATTAATTAATTAATTAATTAATTGGAGAATGCTCTGGTACTCTTGGTCTGGGAACAGAAGGGTTGTTTACAATATTTTCAACAAGTATCTCCAGGCAGGGTGGTGGGTGAAGCCAAAGTCCAGGAAATCCCTGCTTCAGCCCCTGGGTTATGAGTGGCATTTGAAGGGGATAGCCTGGGGTATGAGCAGCTGTACTAGGGTGCTGGCGGGTGCTTGTTGCTTGAATAGCAGTGGGAGATGCCTGTGCTCTGCACCCCAGATGACAGGTGTGGGAAGAGCTTCTCAGGCTGGTTCTTAACATCCTTGTGTCTCTGCCTGTAACCCTCTTCTGGCATCTCCTGTCCTGTCTTCTCAGCCCATGCCCCCAAAGGGACCACCGCACTCCCCAGGATTGGATCTCCAAGCCCAAGCAGAGACAACTGGAGAAAGATCCAGACCCCTAAGCCACTGGGTCAGTGCCTCCTTTCCTTTTCCAGAAAAAGGCTGTTTCCCAGGTGCTGGGTATTTCCTGTCCAGGATGGAAAAATCTGCAAGGCTTACTCCAGAGGGGAGGCTCGCAGAGGGTGGGAACACTACCCTGTCTGATTAGGCAGATGACACTAGGTGCAGAATTGGTGCAGACAAGCCCATTACCAGGGGTTACATGGCCTGTCTTTATGGTTGTGTTTTGAACTGAGTTCTAGAACTTGAACTGCAGGCTGGACTCAGCTGGGCAGTTCTGCTCACACACCTAAGATCAGTTGTAGACCGGCAGGGAGCCCTGTTTCTACAGTCACGTTGATTCTTCCCCTCCCAATCTCCTCTGTGTCTGGTACACCCAACTTACAATGCAGAGTTAGAAGCCATATGCTAACCAGGTCATCTGTGCATTTGGCAGGGACTCATGGGCCCCTTTCCTGTTCCAGGCACTGTTCTAAATGTTAGCAAAATAGGCATGAACAAGCCAGACAGATATCTCTGCTCTTGGTTAGCATGCTGGTGCATGCCTGTAATGCCAGCACTTGCAAAGCAGAGGCAGAGGATGGCTGCAAGTCTGAGGCCAGCCTGGGCTACAATAGTGAGACCTTGTAAAACTGACTGTAGTGGGCTGTTTGAGGGGCCGGAGAGATGGCTCAGCGGTTAAGAACACTGGTTGTTCTTGCAGAAGACCCAGGTTCAAGTCCCAGCACCACATGGCAGCTAACAACTGTCTGTAACTCCAGTTCCAGGGGATCCGACAGTCTCTTCTGCCCTCCTTGAGCATTGCATGACATGGGTGCACTTACCTACACACAGGCAATACATACATACACATAAAATAAAAAATAATAAATTAAAGAAAGGATAGGAGTTTTAAGCTGAGAACTCTCTCCTGGGTTTCGGCACCAAAATGTCAGGAATAGGAGTGGAAAGGTGGAAATAAATAAAAAGCAATCAACCTCGGTAATCCAGACTGATCTTTATTAGTTAGTAAGAGGTGACTACTGACCAGTGGAGTCTGCAGTAGCCACACTAGCCGAACAGCAGGAAGCATAAGTACTTTTGTGTAGGTAAATAGAGTCACGGAAGCTGGATAAAGGATTTACATCCCCCCGCCCCAAGAGTCTAGGAAGGACTTATTTGCAGAGTAAGACCTGTTTTCAGAGCAGAAATCACTTTATGGTTGGGGTTTATGAGGGTCTCCCTTTAGGTAGGGGCAGCAATAATAATTGTATATCAGGTGATTTTTAACTTGCTCCCAAGAAAAATAAAACAGGATTAGGATTAGAGAGTTAGGGAGTGTCTTACACAGATCCAGGGAGGACTTTGCTGTAAAGGAAGTGCCAGAAGGAACCTTCTGGTTGTCTAGGGAAAGGCTGTTCCAGGAGAGGGAATAACAATACAAAGGCCCTGAGGTGCGAAGGTATCTGATAGGACTCCAGCAGGGAGGCTGGAGGGTGCAGAGAGGCAGATGGAACAGATGAAGGTACGGAGGTGGCGGGAGCCACAGCATGTCACAATGAGAACTTGGAGTTTTGTTCTGAGGCTGTAGAAGGCTGAGACCCATTCCTTGGCTCTGCCATTCATTTATTCACTCCACAAACCTCTGCCTAACTCTGACTTGCACTTGTCTGTCCCCTGTAGGCTCAGAAGAGGAAGACCCTTTCTACTATGGTAAGTTACTCCCTGGGAAGATGAGTGAGAGGAAGAACAAAGACCCCTTGACCTGACACCCCCCATTTCTCTGTCCACAGATAACACCACCCTCCGGAGACGGGGGCTGCTGGTGGCAGCCGTGCTGTTCATTACGGGCATCGTCATCCTTACCAGTGAGTGTAGGGCTCGGGCCAGGACTGCGAGGGGGAAGCCTGGGCTTGTATGAAGACAGACTATCAAGGTTGTTGTGAAGCCCCCTGGGCAAGGATGCTGTAAACCAGGCATACCTATGACCTCAGTATCCCCGAAGGCCACCCCAGTGTGCAAAGAGAGAACCATTTGCTTCCCAGGTGTGGCTGGGCTCGGCTGAATGGTTCTTCTGGTGGCCTGAGCTAACTCCTACATCTGAGTCAGCAGGGGGCTCTGCTTCTAGGGACACTGCACCCTATCCCTTGGGATCTTATTCCCCTAGGTTGGTTCATGTAGTGGTGCCCAAGTGAAAGAGGCAGAGCCTCAAAGACTCAGAAATGGCCACTAACACTTCTGCCACATTCATCTGGTTAAGGCAAGACAAGAGGCTCAGCTTCACCTGAAAAATGAGAAAACTTTGCTTTTTTCTTATTATTTATTTATTTATTGGTTTTTTTTTTTTTTAAAGACAGGGTCTCCCTATAGCCCCAGGTAACCTGCAACTCTCTATGTAGAGCAGGCTGGCCTCAAATTCACAGAGATCCACCTGCCTCTGCCTCCCAAGTGCTGAGATTAAAGGCGTGCACCACCAGGCCCAGCTTTCATTTATTATTTTTATTTATGTGTATGAGTGTATTGCTTGCATGTATATAAGTGCACCTGTGTCATGCAATGCCTGAGGAGGTCAGAAGAGGGCATGGGATTTCCCCAGAACTGGAGTTAGGGACCATTTTTAGCCATCATGTGGGTGCTGGGAATTGAACCCAGGTCTGCTGCAAGAGCAGCCAATGCTCTTAACCTCTGAGCCAGCTCTCCAACCTGCTTTTTCTTTTTTGAGACAGTCTCACTATGTAGCCAGGCTGCCCTCAAATTTATCCTCCTGCCTCAGCCTCCCCAGTGTTGAGATTATAGGGATTATGGGTGTATACTACCCTGCCCCATTTCTTTCCCCCAGACAGTGTCTCATGTTGACCAGGCTGGCTTTGAAGTCACTGTGCAGCAAAGGATACCTTGAACTTCTGATCTACCTGCCTCTGCCTCCCAAGTGCTCAGCTTAGTGGCCTGAGCTTCTGCATTCCATTTATTAAACCCGTGGCTTTGTACGCTGGGCAAGCACCACACCCTCTGAACCACATCCCCAGCCCTGACTTCATTTACTGATGGGAGATATATCAGTTACCTTTCTTGTTGCTATGATCAAATACCTGACAAGAAGCAGCTTAAGAGAGGAAGGGTTTATTTTGGCAGCAAGTCTAGCTGAATCCGTGAGCGCCGGGCTCAGCAAGAGACTCTGTCTCAAAAAAATAATAAATAAAAAAATTAAATAATGTGGAATGTGACAGAGGAAGACCCAATTGGGACCTCTGATTTCCACAAGCACACAGGCACGCATATGTGTGTGTGTGACAGCACACATTCACCCCCACACACACATACACACACACAAAGAGGTTTATTTAGATTACAGTTTTGGAACTGTTTTGGCCTCTGGGGATAGGATGGCCCCCTTGGCTTTAGTGGTGGGTGCTGGAGTGGGGTGGGGGTGGAGGTAGATCACAACAAGACAGAGAGAGAGCTACAGTATCCCTTCCTAGGCCCCACCTCTTAGAGACACCACAACCTGTCAGCCCTACTGTATTGAGGATCCTGCCTCTAACACCTGAGACTTTTGTGGGGGACACAAACCACATCAGAACCACAGCAAGTAGTTTCTGCAGAGGCTTGGGTGGAGTGCCAGAGGATGACAGAGCTGATGAGGGAGGAATCCTCACCAACAAAGCAAGAATCAAGTATGGAGGGGGGAGCACCTTCTAAGGAGCACCTTTTAAGGACTGGAGTCAAAGGGTTCTCAGATGGAGGAGCAGCAGGTGTAGAAGCCCAGAGGCAGACCACTAGGCATTGCTGTGACTGTGGGAGGAGGCCAGGGTGGCCCAGGGCAGAAAGAGCAAAAGAGGAAGACACAGAGACCTAATGTTTATTTTAGTGTGTGTGTGGTGGGGGGGGGGGTGCATGCACAGCACACGTGAAAATCAGAGGACAATTTGAAGGAGTTGGTTCTTTTTTTCCACCATGTGAGTCCCAGGGATCGAACTCAGGTTGTTGAGGTTTGGCAGCAACACCTTTACCCACTGAACCATCTTGCTAGCCCCCTTCACATGTTTATGAAGTGGCCCCGGAACTTCCTGAGGGCCAAGATTGACCTACCCATCCCCCAGTCAGTCCTCAGCACACATAAGATAACCAATACCGTTCCAATTCATGGGCCAATCATTTCCTTCCAGGTGGCAAGTGTAGACAGTTGTCTGGAATTTGCCGGAATCACCACAGGTGAGTGGGGCCAACACCTTGATGGGCACCCCAGCTGGAGCACCCACACCAATTCACCACCCCCACCTCCTCCCTCTACCCCAAGAGCCTACAGAGTGGTCAACACAAGATACCCCAAGAAGGAAGAGGCAGCTGGTGGGAGCCAGGCCTGAGGCCTCTGAGGGTTCCCGGCTCCCTGGGTCCTACCCTGCACACTAGCCATCCTGTTCAGATGGAAAATAAAGCTTGGTGTGGTCCTTCTCCCATGGTCTCTGTGCGATAGTGACAAGGGAGTAGGAGGAAGAGGCAGGCTGGGCTTCGCCTCTGAGTAAGCAAGAGCGTCCCAGACTCAGAAGCCAAAAGGGGTGGGGGTGGGGGGGATTGAGGCTGGTATGTGCAGGGGAAGGACAGGATCAGAGGCTCTAAGGGTGAGAGAGATGGCAAAACTCATGTTCAGAGCCTGGGCCCAGGGCCAGCTTACCCTGATAGAGGTTGGAGCATAAGTACACACAAAGCGGGGGACCCTAGCCACTGTGACCGCCTTAACTTCACACTGAGGGTCTTTCTGCATCTCGGGGTACCTCATGCATGGATGTGGACAGCCTGCACACCCAAGCTCTGTTCCCTGACACCAACCCACAAGTGGCACCCTAGGTGGCCTCCTTAGGGCACATGTGTGGTGTTCTGGGATGGGCAGGCGAGGAAGTCAGTAGAGAAGGCGTGCACTCTGGTGGACATTTTTCTGGGGACCCTTGGGCTCCACTCCACAGGGAGGGTTCAGCCAAGTCTGGCCAGAGTGGTCTTCTGAGAATGGAGGAAGGGAGGTGTGCTTCAAGGGTCATTCCAAAGTCAAGAGACAAGATTCCAACCACAGGGTTTGCATAACGCTATTGCAGAAACTTCAGGTCAAAGTGTCCTCGGGTTATGAAATCACTTGAGTGGGCCACAAGCCGCACTAAAATAAGAGAAAAAGAAGTAATGAAGGAGAAAAGAAAATGCTGGGCTAAGGACGTAGCTCAGGTGGTAGTACGCCCACCCAGCATGCCTGGACTCTTAGGCTTGATGCCCAGCACCACGTAAAACCGGGCATGGTGGGGCACACCTGTAATCTTAGTACTTGGGAAGGTGGAGGCAGGAGGATTAAAAGTTTGAAGTCTTTGGCTGCATAGCTCAAGTTTGAGGCCAGCCTGGGCTACATGAGACCCCTGTCTCAAAAATGACTAATTAAGGGCTGGAGAGATGAGTCATGGTTAAGAGCACTGGCTGCTCTTGTAGAGGAGCCAGGTTCAGTTCCCAGCACCCATATGGTAGCTAACAACTGTCAGAAACTCCTCTTGTGACCTCTGAGGGCATTGCACAACACGGGTGCACTTAAATCATGCCGCCAATATACTCATTCACATGAATAAAAATAATAAAAAAATTTTTTTTGGTCTTTTTTTGAGACAGGGTCTCCCTATAGCCCCAACTGTCCTGGAACTCACTATGTAGACCAGGCTGGCCTTGAACTCACAGAGATCCACCTGCCTCTGCCCCCCAAGTGCTGGGATTAAAGGTATGCGCCACCAGGTCTGGCTTAAAATATTTTTTAAATGACTAATTAACTAAGTATGAAAATGAAAGAAAATCACAGTAATAAATTAGGGGCTGGGGAAGATGGCTCAGTGGGTGAGAGCATGCTTTGTAAGCATGGGGACTGAGCTTGGAGCCCTGGCACTCATGTAAGAAGCCAGCTGGAGCTGCATATACTTGTAACCCCAGTGCTGGGGGCAGCAGAGTGAACAGGAGAATTGCTGGGGCTTGATGGCCAGCTTGTCTAGTGGAAAAATAGTGAGCCCCAGGTTCAACAAGAGACCCTGTATCAAAAAATAAGGTAGAGCTGGGCATGGTGGCACATGCCTATAGTCCCAGCACTTGGGAGGCAGAGGCAGGCAGATCTCTGTGAGTTCAAGGCCAGCCTGGTCTACATAGTGAGTTCCAGGCCAGCTGGGGCTACAGGGAGACCCTGTTTCGAAAAGACTGAAAAATAAAAAACATAATAAGGTGGAGGGGCTGGAGAGATGGCTGAGTGGTTAAGAGTACTTGCTGTTCTGCAGAGGACCTGAGTTCAGTTTCCAGCACCCAGGTTGGGCAGCTCACAACTGCCTGTGACTCCTAACTCCAGGAGACCTGAAGCCCTCTTCTGGCCTCCGTGGGCACCCGCACACATGTGCACATACCTACACACTGTCTTGCACACATACACATAAATAAAAATAAAACCTTTAAACAATAAGGTAAAGAGCCAGGTGTGGTGGTGCATGCCAGCACTTGGGAGGCAGAGGCAGGTGGATCTCTCTGAGTTCAAGGCCAGCCTGGTCTACATAGTGAGTTCCAGGCCAGCTGGGACTACAGGGAGACCCTGTCTCAAAAAGACAAAAAGAAAAAAATTGCATTGCCGGGCGTGGTGGCACATGCCTTTAATCCCAGCACTTGGGAGGCAGCAACAGGTGGATCTTCGTGAGTTCAAAGCCAGCCTGGTCTACATAGAGAATTCCAGGCCAGCTGGGACTACAGGGAGGCCCTGTCTCAAAATAACATAAATAATAAATAAGTAAATAAATAATAATAAGGTAAAGAGCAATAGATCAGGTCATCAACAGCCTCATGCATACACATACACATATCACATACACAAACACGTGCATGCAAACACTCACACCATGCAGAGCTACAACACACATCAAATATGTAAATAATAAAAATTAAGATTTAATATTTATGGGGCTGGAGAGATGGCTCAGCAGATAAGAACACTGGTTGTTCTTGCAGAAGACCTGGGTTTGAATCCCAGCACCCACAGAGCAGCTAACAACTGTTTGTAACTCCAGTCCCAGGGGATCTGACAGCCTCTTTTGACCTCCAAGGGCATTGCACAACATAGGTGCACTTACCTACAGGCAGGCAATACACACATACACATAACATTTTTTTAAATTTTCTTTTAAATAATTATTTATTCTTTTCTTTTTTTAATTACCACATGATTAGAAGAACCATTTCATTACAGCTTTAACATATTAAGTAACAACTTCCAGAGCAAGGATACATCTCTTTCAAAAGTGGCAGTAAATTTTTAGGTTCACAGTTGAATTAATACAGTTATATAATATTGAACTCAGTATAAACCCTGTAAGACATAAAATTGAATGAGTTTTTAACCTTTAAAGAAGATCTCCATTTCATTTTAAAATATGCTGTTTGCTACATTTTTAATGCTACTAACACTTAGATGTTTGCAATGTGTCTTTGATTTCTATGTATCTGATTATTACTAGTCACAGTCAGTTACACTCAGATCCTTGGCACCTGAGTATGGGCTAAAAAGTCATCAGGTAGATTTCAATGGTAATATTTATCACCTCTACTAATTAACATGAAGTAAATTTTTACGCTTCCTCCTCAAATATGTCTTTTTTTTAATTTGTTGATTTTTTTTTGTGTATATCATACAGAACATCCCAAACAATCTTATTCATCTGTATACCCACTTCCCAAATGGCACCCTCCGATAGCCTCCCCCACTTCCCCCACTGGAGCCCATATGCTCTGTCATCCCTGATACTGTCCACTGTGCTGTCAGCGCCCCCAGCCATTCCCCAGTGCTTGTCCATCTGCTGAATCTAGTCAGCCTATCTAGAGATCCTTGTTTTAGGGAGATCAACTGTTCCTCATCTAGCAGCAATCAGTTGTCAGTATTCCTTGAAATAAGATTGGCGCCTGCTGTTCATTTTCCCAGTTCTATGCTGAGTTACTGTCTGGGAGTCTTCTGAGACACCCTGGACGATAACTCAAAGGAAGGTATCTCCTGTCTAGCATTGTTTCTTGTTATGTAGCCTTTAGATGTACATATGGACTCTTAAAAAATTATGTTGACCCCATTAACATTTGGTTATACTTTCCTTTTGGGTGTTTAAGACCCTATAGTTGGCCCAGATAAACCAATTTATTTTTACTTTTAAGGTCATTTGAGGATCTGTTCCTCAGGGGTCACATGGGCTTGGGAGGAGCTCCTGGCTCCATTCTTTTACCAGTTCCATCTATGTGAAGATAAGTCAAAGGTCCTGCTCAACTGTGGCTGGCTTTACTTGAAGCATGGAGGAAATGTTTCCTCTGTGTTGACCTTCCTCTTTGTAGACTGGACACTGGTTCAAGTTCATCTCGTGGGGTCTCCATGGTCTCCTTCATCAAGAGGACAGGTGACTCACCACAATTACAGGACATTTTGAGAGATGCTCATAGTCCCCTGGAACTTAGTTGACCTACGAGGGAAAGGAGCAAAAGCTGTCCTTTATGTCCCTCTGCCCAAATTAGTATAGGCCTCATAGTATGGCTGTGGAATCCCACTCAAATGGGCCAACAGCCCATGGAAAACAGATGATGCAGAGACGGACATTTTGAGAGATGCTCATAGTCCCATGGAACTAGTCGACCTAGGAGGGCAAGGAGCAAAAACTGTCCTTTATGACCTTCTGACCAAATTATTATAGACCTCAAAGTATGTCTGTTAACCATCCAAGAAGGTTAGTTCCACCAGTCTGGTACTTTTAATTACCATGTGCCATGTAGATAAAGCTTGGGCAAAGACCAAACTCTCAGGTAAACCTTGCCTAGACATATATTATAATCTTTGATCTAGTTGTATGTATGACCTCCACATTGCATGACACGGGTGCACTTACCTACATGCAGGCAATACACACACATA